CCGCCACCTGCCTCTGCCTCCCAAGTGCTGGGATTAAAGGCATGCGCCACCATGCCCAGCTGTTTTATTTTTTAATTAAGCAATTTTTATATGTGTGTTTTGCTTGTATGCATATAAGTGCACCAAGTGTGTGCAATGCCTGCTGAGACCAGAAGAGGGAGTCAGATCCCCCGGAATTGGAGTTAAGGATCATGTTAACTGCTAGGTGGGTGCTGGTAACCAAACCCAAGTCCTCTTTAAGAGCAGCCCGTGCTTTTAACCACTGGGTCATCTCTCCAGCTCCTGACCTCAAAATCTTGGGCTCAGCCAGGTATGGTAGTGCACACCTGTAGTCTCAGCATTCAGGAGGCTGAGGTAGGAGGATTGCTGAAAGTTCAAGACCAGCCTGACCTACATAGTGAATTCTAGGTCAGCCTAGCCTACATAGTGAGACCCTGTCTCAAAAGCAGCATGCGTGAGCCACGGCACTGAGCCTTTGACTTTCCCTTTTATACTTAGTACTGTAGTCTAGAAATCACGCCATGTTGGTCATAGAGGACTTCTTTAATCTTCTACAAATGTATAATACTCTATTATGGGTGTACTAGTTACTTTTTATTGCTGTGATAAAATGCCATGACCAAGGCAACTTACAGAAGGAAGAGTTTATTTGGGCTTAGGGTTCCAGAAGGATGGTCCATAATGGCAAGAGAGGCATGGTAGCAGGAGGTAGAACAAGAAACTGAGAGATCACATCTTCAACCACAAATACAAAGCAAACTGGAAGTGGGGCAAGGTTATATAAACTCTCAAAGTCTGCCCCCCAGTGACATACTTCCTCCAGCAAGACTGTACCTCCTAAATCTCCCCAAACAGCACCATTAACTGGGGACCAAGTATTTAAATACATAAGCCCATGGTGTGTGTGTCGGGAGGGAGATACTTCTCATTCAAACCATCAACAATGAATATGTACCACGTTTTATTTAACCATTTAATTTGGGGGATGGGTGGGAACAAGATCTCAGTTTGTAGCTTAGGCTGGCTTTGAATGTCCTGTGTAATCCTCCTGTCTTATCCTGTCAAGCGCTAGGATTATAGGCATATATCACCACTCCCGGCTCGTGTCCTTTTCCTATTTATAGATTCCACATATGAGAGAGATCATGGTATTTGTCTTTTTTAGTCTGGCTTATCTCATGTTACACAATGCTCTCCAGTTCCATTTTTTTCTCCCGTGCATGTCACCATTTCATTCTTCTCTATAACTGAATAAAATCCCTTTGTGTATATCCACCATTGTCTCCTTATCCTTCGATCTGCTGGTGGACATCTCGGTGGATTGCATTTTTCATTTATTGTGAACAGTGCAGCAATGAACATGGATGTGCAAGCGTTTTTTGAGGAAGCTTCATATTGGTTTCCATGGTGGCTGTACCAGTTCACATCCCTGCCAGCAGTGTATAAGGTGTATGAGTTCCTTCTTCCCAGCATCCAAATCAACATTTGTTGTCATTTGTTTCCTGATGAGAGCCTTTCTGATTAGAGTGAGATGGAATCTCAAAGCAATTCTAGTTTGCATTTCCTTGACGGATAAGGATGTTGAAGCCCTTTTCAAGTATCTTAGTGGCCATTTGTATTTCGTTCTTGAGAACTGTCTAGTCAATTCAGTAGCCCATTTATTCATTGGGTAATTTGGTTTTTAGCATTCAATTTGTGTGATTCTTTGTAGACTCTAGATATTAATTCCCTGTCAAGTGTAGAATAGGCAAAGATTTTTCTCTAATTCTGTAGGCAGTCTCTTCACTGCTCTACTTCCTTTGCTGTGCAGAAACGTTTTAATAATAGCTTTCTACAACCCTATTTGTCAGTTCTCGGAATTATTTCCTGTGCTACTGGAATCCTTTTTTAGAAAGTTCCTGCCGAAGTTTCTGTCTTGATGTGTTTTGCCTATGTTTTCTTCTAGCAGTTTCAGTTTCAGGTCTTACACTAAGGTCTTTGATCCATTTTGAATTGATTGTGTGTGTGCGTGTGTGTGTGTATGTATGTGTGTTCAGGGCAAGAAATATTAACTCATTTCATTCTTTTCATGTGGATATCACGTTTCTTCAGCATCATTTGTTGAAAAGGCTGTCTTTTTTTCCAATGTAGTTTTTGACACCTTTGCTGAAGATTAAGTATAGCTGTGTGGGTTTACTTCTGGGTTTTCTATTCTTTGTTTGTTTGTTTGTTTGTTTGTTTGTTTGAGATAGGGTCTCATGTAGCCCAAGTTGGGCTCTACCTTCCTATATAGCCAAGGATGACCTGAATTGCTGATCCTCCTGCCTTCACCTCTCAAGTGCTGAGGTTATAGGCATGCACCACCACACCCAGCTTCAGTCATTTATTCTGTTGTTTTGATCTACTTCTCTGTTTTTTGTGCCAGTACCATGCTGTTTTTGTCATTATAGTTCCATAGTATAATTTGAGATTAGATATTGTGATACCTCCAGCCTTGCTCTTTCTGCTTAAGGTTGTTTTGGCTATTTGGAGTCTTTGGTGCTTCCACATGAATTTTAGGATTGTTTCTTTCTAGCGCTCTGAAAAAAAAATGTCACTGGTATTTTGGTAGGGGTTGCATTCAATCTGCAACTTCCTTTTGTTGACATAGATGTGCTCATGGTTTTAGTTCTGCCCATCCGTGAGCACAGGAGTTCTCTTCTTCAATATTGAAGAAGTCATTCTTCAGTATCTTAAAATTTTCAACATAGAGGTCTTTTACCTCTTTCGTTAGGTTTATTCCTAGATTTTATTTTTGGTTTTGAGACAGGGTCTCTCTGTAGCCTTAACTGGCCTGGAATTCACTATGTAGACCAGGGTGGCCTTGATCTCACAGAGATCTCCCTGCCTGTGTCTCCAAAGTGTTGGAATTAAAGGTGCCACCATACCTGGATTATTCCTAGGTTTTAAAAGCTATTCTGAATGGAATGTTTTCCCCTGACTAATTTCTCAGAAAGTTCACTATTAGTATATAGTTAAGCGACTTTTTTGTGTGTTGATTTTGTATCTTGCTACTTTGCTTAAAGTGTTTATCAGATCTAAGAGTTTTCTGGTGGAGACTTTAGGAGCTTTTAAGTAAAGGATCCTCATCTACAAATAGGAATAACTCATCTTCTTTCCTTCCTATTTGCTTCCATTTCATTCCTCTTGTCTTACTGCTCTAGCTAAGATTTGAAGCACTATATTTAATTTTGTACGGATCGAGTGGAGAGTGGGCACTCTTACCTGGTTCTAATTTATTTATTTATTTGTTGGCTTTTTGAGACAGGGTCTCACTATATAGTCCTGGATGGTCTTGAACTTACAGAGATCTGTCTGCCTCTGCCTCCCCAGTGCAAAGGTGTATACCACCATGCCCAGGCTTGGTTCCAGATTTTAAAGGAAATGCTTTCAGTCTTTCCTGATTCAGTGTAGGTTTGTTGTGTCTAGCTTTTATTATGTTGAGCTGTATTCCTTCTGTTTCCTAGTGAATGGAAGGGCATTTATCATAAAGGGATGTCGAACTTTGTCAAAGATGTTTTTTCTATCTATTGAAGTACTTCTGTGGTTTCTGTCCCTGAGCCTATTTGTATGCTGTGCTGCATTTATTGATTTGTATAAGCTGGCTCATCCTTAAACCCTTGGAATAAAACCAACTTGGTCATAATGACAGATCTTCTTAATGTGTTCTTGCATTTCAAGTATTTTGAGAATTTTTGCATTTATATTCATCAGGGAAATTGGGTCATGTTTTTTTGATCTTACCCAGCTTTGGTATCAGGGCAATGCTGTGCTTGGAGAATGAGTTTGGTAGTGTTCCTTTGCTTTCTATTTTGTGGAACCATTTGAGAAGTGTTAGTAGCATCTTTCTTTTTGTTTTTTGTTTGTTTTCAGACAGGGTCTCACTATGTAGCCCTAGCTGGCCTGGAACTCTCTCAGTTCCCAGGCTGGCTTCACTCTCTCAGAAATCTGCCTGTCTCTGCCTCCCAGTGCTGGGATCAAAGATGTGTGTCACCATGCCTGCCTGGTATTAGATTTTTTGTAAAAATAAAAAATGTTTTAAAAAGATTTTATTTTTATTTTACGTGTATGAATGATTTGCCCACCTGTATATAAGTATACTACCTGTGTGCCTGGTGCCCATAGAGGCCAGAAGAGGGCATTGGATCCCTTAGATTTGGTGTTAAGGATTATGTTAGCCACCATGTGAGTGCTGGGAACTGAACCTGGGTCCTCTGGAAGAGCTATAAGTGCTCTTACATCTCTCCAGTCCCAGTATAATCCTTTCTTAAAGGCATGAGGATTAAGGGTTCTAAACCAATTGCTTTTTTAGCTTTTTAGCTAAGATCAATTAAAGAGTTCCAGGTCTGCCTGTGCTACACCAAGGAGACCCTGCCTCAAAAAGGGGAGAGAGGGAACTGGAGAGATGGCTCAGTGGTTAAGAGCACTGACTGCTCTTGCAGGGGACCCAGGCTCAATTCCCAGCACCCACATGACAGCTAACAACTGTTAGTAACTCCAGTTCCAGGGTATCCGATGCCTTCTTCTGACCTCCTTGTGTGCTGCTTAACATGGGTGTACTTTGCCACATGCAAAATGAGCGGCTTAGTGCAGGGCATGTCTGCAGGTAATATAATCATACACATAAAATAAAAATAAAGTATAAAAAAGAGAGAGAAATGAGAGAGAGAGAGAGAGAGAGAGAGAGAGAGAGAGAGAGAGAGAGCGAATAGGGCTACTGTAGGATGAAATGGCTATGATCCTGAAGCAGGAAGCTAGGCAGGGCTGGCTGGACCTAAAGGTCATGGAGGGAATCAGTGCACAACGCAAAGGCCTTCCTAACAGCACTATCCACATTAGAGTGGGATGGCTGGCTCCTCAGTCTTGGTCACAGAGGCCTCATGGCTCCTTGCAGCACAAGGAGGAATGAATCTTTCTTCAGAGGCCTTGGCTTACCTGACCAGTGCTCATCTTTCATGCTGTGGGGGCTTCTGTCATTACAGGTTGGCCCTTTGACAACGCCACATGCAAAATGAGCGGCTTAGTGCAGGGCATGTCTGTGTCTGCATCTGTCTTCACGCTGGTGGCTATTGCTGTGGAAAGGTAAGAGATTTTCCTGGGGACTGACACTGAGGAACTGCTGCCCCTGATGCTAGGCAGGCTGGAAGGTCAGAAGGAGGAATTTTTTAGAATAATACCCTATTCCTTTCTGGAAGGCAGAGGCTGATCCTGACAGGGCTTTTTAGTGCTTCCTGGGGCCTGTGAGATGCTCAAGGGTGGTTTGCATCCTCAGCAACAGGAATCTGCCTCCCCTGCCTTTGAGTCCTGGGAGCCAGAGCTCAAACAGGAGGCTGTTTGTCTGGGTATAGCTGGGAGGAAGAGTCTCTTTCTGCCCCTTTACCCTCCCACCTATTTGCTAGTCCCTGGTGTGTCTGCCACTTCCTGTCATTTAGCCTCAGACCCCAGTAGAGTCTCAGATAAGCATGGTTCTGTTCATGTGGTCAGAGGTATGGGATGGAACCCAGTCAGGGAGGCTTTGGACCAGTTCACAAGTTTTCCTTCCTGGAATACAGTTGGTTGTCCTGTCTCTCCTCCACCCTTTGCTCAATATCTTCAGTGTGGTAAGGGCTCCTGGGAGGTGCCTCCCCCCAGGGACTAGGAGGCACGTAGATCAGATGGAGATGGCTGTTGTCCTCACTGCCTCACAGTGATGTTGGGCCACGTACTCAGTTACTGTGGCTGGAATCTTATCTGTAAAATGGTAACTGTCCTATAGGGAGGCTGGAGGCTTCAGGCAGTTTCTGCCTACAGAGTTTATGGACAGTTCCTAGCCCACAGAGCAAATGCCAGCTGTTCACATTATTTCTTCCATATAGCCACACCTCCTCCTTGTCCCTCTCTCCACCTCCAGTTCTTCTCCTTCTAGAATCTAGTTTTCCCATCTTCTTCTCACCTCTGCCCCCATCAAACTCAGTTTTTGTTGGTTTTGTTTTTGCTTTAAGACAGGGTCTCATGTACCCCAGGCTGGCCTTGAACTCACCACATACTGGAGGATGACCTTAAACTTCTGATGCTCCTGACTCTGCCTCCTTAGTGCTAGGATCATTGGCATCTGCTGCCATGCCATTTTGTTTGGTGCTAGGGATAGAACCCAGGGCCTCATGCATGCTAGACAAATACTGTACCAATTGAGCTACATCTCCAGCCCCAAACCCAGTTTTTTGTAACTCTGTGAAGTATAGCCAGCTGTCATGATGGAGCTGGATTCCCCTCTCCACAAAGCCACTAAGAGCCAGTTATGTGGGGAAACCCTCCACTCAACCAAAATTTATTTTCTTGTCATTGTTGAGTGACATGAGAGTGTAAACATTCCCCAGTATGCTTATAGTTTGTTGAGCTCCTCCTCCAGGAAGTCTTCCCAGATGACCCCAGGATTCTCCTCTACCTGTTGGGCTTATAACAAGGACTACATGTTTCAGGAGTCCTTTCTTTCTTTCTTTCTTTCTTTCTTTCTTTCTTTCTTTCTTTCTTTCTTCTTTCTTTCTTTTCTTTCTTTTTTTGTCTTTTTGAGAGAGGGTCTCCCTGTAGTCCCAGCTGGCCCAGAACTCGCTATGTAGACCAGACTGGCCTCAAATTCACAAAGATCCACTTGCCTCTGCTTCCTAAGTGCTGGGATTAAAGGTGTGCACCACAAACACAGAAATGAGGCTATTAAGGCAGAAGGTCAAAATCATACAGGCCGAGGTAGCAAGGTCAGGCCACTGGGGAGGGGAAAGTTACTTCCAGCCTGGGGAGACAGAGTAGGCTGGATTAGGTAAGTGAAAAATAAAGGGCCTCTGGCCAGCGGTCAGTACCATACCCTGCCTTTAAGGAACCATGTGAACTTTAAGAGAGCCCATCTCTTTTCTGGGGTGGGTCCAACCTTTGTTAAACAAATGAGGCTGATGCCACAGTCCTTGAGTCTATTTTCTGGCAGAGGTGGATGGCAGAGGGAATTCTGGGAAGTAGGAGATCCTCTTTTTTCTCATTTTTGTGTATGTGTGTGTGTGTGGCGGGGGGAGACAGAGTATCATGTAGCCCAGGCTGACCTCAAACTCTTTAGCCAAAGATATCTTTGAACTCCTGATCCTCCTGCCTATACCTCCCAACAGTTGTGCAGTGTCACACTTGGTTTCTTTTTCTCACTTTTAAATATTCAAAATGTCTCCAGAAGTGGGGTGATCTCAGTTCATCTTTACCACAGGACAGAGGAGGGCAGATTATGGGCCCCATTTTTGCAGATAAAGAAACCAAGGTCCAGAAAGTCTTTTGAGAAATCTTGTATTGATGTAAACACACCCTGTTTTCTGGGTAATTCACAGACAGTTAAAGCCTTACATCTGTGTTGGGCAGGGGAGATGGCTCAGGGAGCTGGTAAAGGCACTTTCTGCAAAGCTTGGTGACCTGAGTTCAATACCCAGGACTCACATGTTGAAAAGAGAAAATTCATGAAAGTTGTCCTCAGACTTCCACATTACACACACACACACACACACACACACACAAAATGTGAAAGAAATTTGCATTTGTAGATTCACCTAGTCAGGCTTGTCAAGGGACACAGAATGAGCACAGTCGCTGTTCCAGCTGCGTCTAAACAGCACCCCCCCTCCCAAGAAATATAGACCCAAGCCACTGATGCCAGGCAGCACCTCCCTTCTCCCCTGCCTTAAATCCTGCCTGGGTTCCTGGGCAACACAGCAGGGTGAGCTGCCTCCTTCGCAAGTGAGAAACCAATTTACTTGCAGTCATCTAATTAGTGTCTAAGCTGTCCAAGTTGTCCCCCTATGTTGCCAGAGGTGCGATGATGAATGTCAGGTGTTCCTGTTCAGCAGTCCTTAACGAGGTCAGCTCTGGCCTCGCTGGGTCCCAAGGGACCCTCCCAGACCCTTGCCTCTCTTCCCGACCCTGGCTGCAGGTTCCGCTGCATCGTGCACCCTTTCCGCGAGAAGCTGACCCTCCGCAAGGCGCTGCTCACCATCGCGGTGATCTGGGCCCTGGCACTGCTCATCATGTGTCCCTCGGCCGTCACGCTGACCGTCACGCGCGAGGAGCATCACTTCATGGTGGATGCCCGCAATCGATCGTACCCGCTCTACTCGTGCTGGGAGGCCTGGCCAGAGAAGGGGATGCGCAAGGTGTACACCGCGGTGCTCTTCGCGCACATCTACCTGGCGCCTCTGGCGCTCATCGTGGTGATGTATGCTCGCATCGCTCGCAAGCTGTGCCAGGCTCCGGGCCCCGCACGGGATGCCGAGGAGGCGGCAGCCGAGGGTGGCCGCTCGTCACGCCGCAAGGTCCGTGTGGTGCACATGCTGGTGATGGTGGCGCTCTTCTTCTCGCTGTCCTGGCTGCCGCTCTGGGCGCTGCTGCTGCTCATCGACTATGGGCAGCTGAGTGGGCCGCAGCTGCATCTGCTATCCGCCTACGCCTTCCCCTTCGCGCACTGGCTGGCCTTCTTCCACAGCAGCGCCAACCCCATCATCTACGGCTACTTCAATGAGAACTTCCGCCGCGGCTTCCAGGCCGCTTTCCGTGCCCAGCTCTGCCCGCTGCCCTGGGGTGGACACAAGCAGGCCTATTCCGAGCGCTCCGGCCGGCTCTTGCGCAGGCGGGTGGTAGTGGACGTGCAGCCCAGTGACTCTGGCCTGCCGTCTGAGTCCGGGCCCAGCAGTGGGGCCCCGGGTCCCGGGCACCTGCAGCTGCGCAATGGGCGTGTGGGTCACCATAGTGGGCCTGGGGAGGGTTGTAACCCTCATATGCCCCTCACCATCCCAGCCTGGAACATCTGAGATTGACCAGAGAGGGCAGGCTCTGTAGACCTATGGCCCTGACTCGACAGCAGCCTGGAGTGGCATTAAAAGAGGGTGCCAGGATGCCTCCTTGACAAAAAAACAAGGCAGTGGGCAGCTGCTAGCGATGGGGAATGAGAAGGGGAAGGCTTGAACTTTCCCAAACCCCTTCTGTGCCATAGCCATACTGGACGGTTGTATCTCATCATAATGCTCTTACACCCCATGGGGAAAGATGACATGGTCTTTCAGCTGGAAATCCCACTAGAACCTGATTTCAGGGTCTCTATGAAGTCCATATCTCCATCAGTCTCACCAAGGCCATCTGGGATAGATCCCAGGAAAATGTGTCATCCTAACCTGGTAGCTGAGAAGTGACCGTGTGCTTAGATGCTGAGTCCCTGTGATGGTGACCCCTGTGTTGTGTTGCTGAGATAGCTCCTTTTGACTCCTTGGAGAGTGGGGGAGGCCATCTGCTTCTTCAGCCCAGCTCCAATGTGTTGACTAGTGGAGTTCCCAGAAGTGTTCACAGTCAAACCCCTCCAGGATGTCACAACTAAATAGCTATAGAAAGTCCTAGGGAGCCTGCTTAGATTTCAGGGTTTCCCTAGTCCCGAGCCTAAGGGAGGGAGAGGGGAGCCTTCCCCACCTCCATCACCCAGAGTTTGGCAGAGTGTCCAATAGGACAGGCAGCTCATGGGTGGCAGGCAAGAAGGAAGGGAAAACACATTGTCAATTTTCCCCTTTGGAAATACCTCACTGGCCCTGAGAACACAAAGCCCTCTCCAGGCCCCTCCTCTTTGAGTACTGGGAAGGAGAAGTTGGGCAATCAAAGATGAAACCAGAAGGGTGAGGTATGCAACTGAAGGACTAATGTGCACCCCAGTTCTCTCCCAGTGCATCCACACTCAGCTTAAAGAAGTGAGGCCTCTGTCCAGGAGGTGAGGAAATGAGCTTGCCTCATGATTCTAGTTTCTGTAATCCGCTATGTTTCCATAATCTGCTCTTACCTGACACTTCTCCCCTCACCTCCATTACCACAATTGCTAGAACTGAAGAGGAAACATGCCTGGATTCAGGGCTCAGAGCTCTTATTGTCTCCTTAATACACAGTGACTGTCCCCTATTCACAGGTCCATTGTAAGCACTGACCACAGGAGCAGTTGTCTGCCTTGCAGTTGACATGGCCAAACATGTCCCCAAACACTATTGTCTGATGCGTACAAATGAGGTTGGCAATGTTTTTACCGTTGGATAAAACAACTGTGGCCCAGTAGGCCTGAGGTCACAGGTCCACAGAGCAGCATTCAGATAGATTTGCCTTGGATTGTTCTTCCTGATCTATATCCTGCCTCTCAGAGAAGGTGGGCAAGCCAGAAACTCCCCAGTGTCCTGCCTAGTGACAAAAGGGGACACCTAGGACACCTGCGTAACTAGACTCTGGGCTCCCAGGTTGGGTCAGGGAAATGACTATTGCTTATCCTTGTCACTTCTGACTTGAGTTGCTCTGAGCAAATATCTTTAACACTATGCTGAAGGGCCGGTGGTGATGGAATATGCTTTTAATCCCAGCACTTGGGAAGCAGAGGCAAGTGGATCTCTGTGAGTTCAAGGTCTGTGCTAAGAAGGCTTCCGAGCTCTGTCACAATGCTGCCTGGCCTAGGAGTCTGGGAGTAACAGATGAAGGTTTCAGATAAGATGTGTCCTGCAATTTAGTGGCCTGGGCTGGCACCCTGCACAATTCTCATTGCTAAGGCTATATCAGCATCATGTGACACACAGGCCTGAGAGTTGCTGGCTGTTTGCTGAGAAGAGTTTTAATTCCAGACTAAAAATAGGCCAGACCAAAGACCTTGTCAAACCCAGTCCCTGAGGTCCCCTGGGAGCTGTTCAGAGAGAGCCACTGCTATCTCCCCAATGATCTTTCACCAAGGCCTCTTTGCTTTATTTCCCCGCAAAGACACCATGTTCCAAGAGACTATGGGCTGCCAAAAAACAGTGCAGGTGACAATTCATATATTTTTGTTATTTTTATTTCATGAAACAGATCAGAGGCAACACCTGCCAGCCCACAGACTTGGTCTGTTGGTTTGAGCATAAACAGGTTCATGTTGTTACAAAGCAGGCATGATGGGTTTGCCAGGAACTTGTTTCTTTGTATATGTGGTAAAAGCCTTTTTTTGTTTGCTTTTTGAAACAGGGTCTCCTTGTACCTCAGCTGGCCTGGAACTCCCTATGCAGATATACCCCAGCTGGCCTAGAACTCCCTATGTAGATGTACCCAGCTGGCCTAGAATTCCCTATGCAGATGTACCCCAGCTTGCCTGTAACTCCCTATGCAGATGTACCCCAGCTGGCCTAGAACTCCCTATTAGATGTACCCCAGCTAGCCTGGAACTTCCTATGTAGACGAAGTTGGCCTCACTCTTGCAGAGATCCACCTATGCTGTGATTAAAGGCTGCCCAGCTTGTTAACATTTTTCAAAAATTAAAAAAATGTTGGACATGGTGGCACACACTTGTAATCCCAGCACTCAGGAGGCAGAAGCAGGTGGATGTCTGTGAGTTCAAGGCCAGCCTGGTCCACATAGCAAGACCCTGTCTCAAAAAATTTTTTTTAATTAATTTTTATTTTACGTGTATGAATATTAGGTCTGCATGTGTGTAAGTGCACTTGTGTCATGCAGTGTCCTCAAAGGACAGAAGGGGGCATCGAATCCCCAGTAACTAGAGGTATGGATGGTTGTTAGCCACCATGTGGGCACCAAGTATTGAACCCAGGTCTTCTGCAAGAACAATCAGTGCTCTTAACCACTGAGCCATCTCTCCAGCCCCAACCTTTTTTTTTTAAGTGTATAGTTTGGTGGCACTGTGAGCATCCGTGTTGTATAATGATTCCACTATCCATCCCCAACACTTTTTAAAATCTCAAACTGTAGCTCTGTACCTATTAGATACTAATTACCCATCCCTACCCCTCCCAGTCCCTAGTAGCCACTGTCTCACCATCCCATTTTCCCTCTGAATTTGTGTACTCTGTGAAACCACTCAGAACTTATCCTTCTGTGACTGTTTCATTATTTATTTAAAATATTTTATTATTTTATTTCATGTGTATGAGTATTTTGCCTGCACACACAGAAGTGCACCATGTTCATGCAATGCCTGAGGAGGCCAGAAGAGGGCATCAGAGCACTTAGAACTGGAGTTATGGATGGTTGATAGCTGTCATGTGGATGTTGAGAACTGAACCTGAGTCCTCTGCAAGAGCAACCAGTGCTCTTAACTGCTGAATCAAGTGACTGTTCTTTTACTATGACTAACACCTTGCAGGGTTCATATATGTTGTAGAATTAGGTCAACATTTCCTTCCTCTTTGTGGCTAAGTATTATTCCTTTATAGGGCTGGTCTATGTTTTGCTTATCCATGCACCCATTAGTATGTTCCCTTTGATGTTTCAACTGTTACACATAATATGTATGGGGGGGTTAGATTATGAAATCAGGCCCTGAAAATAGTGCCTGTGTGAACTCTGAGGACAGAGACCCCAACATTTCTCCCAACCTGACATTGAGGGGCAACAGAGCACAGGCCTGGGGGACAGTCGTGACCATAACCACCCCCTACCCGCCTTTACCCCTACCCCCATGCCCACCCCTGATACTCTGAGCTTCCCTCCTCCCTGTTCCTTCTTGACTAGAGTGGGGAAAATGGTATGTTCTATTCCCAAGATATTTGTATGAAGCTGTTTATAATCATAGCTTTGTCAGTCTCACGAGAGCCCTGTGTCTTGACACCTGGGCCTGTGGGAGCCTTTTGTGACCACAACACTTAAGGACAGTCACCAAGCATCTCTCTAGGGCAGCCATGTTCCATCAGTGATGTACTGGGTCTCCAGAGGTAACTTAACTGTCCTTTCACAGGCAGAAAGTTTGGAGATGAACGGAGCCTATGATAGGAAAGACAGCCAGAGGCCTGTTGACACAGAGCACCCCACCCTGAGGCCTGTGGACACGGAGCACCCCACCCAAAGGGGCTCTTAGAGGGATGCTGTGTCCTGCGGTGCCATGTCCATAAGAGCGGTCCTTCTCCAAATGGGTCTCTACTGATGAATGGGTTCTTGACTTCTCCAAGACCACGGCACCCACCTGGCCAATAGGAGTGGAGGCGTTGCCCACCCCAGCCCACAAAACCACACCCTGGCCAGCCTTGGGCCACCAACTTTCTCCTGGGGCCTGGAGGACGCATGGACTGGAATGGGTTGGAATGGAGGGTAGAGCTGGCAAAGCAGGCGGGGAACCCCTATCATTAACCTTCTGTGCATTCATCCCAAATCCAGGCGCCAGCCAAGCCGGGGGCTGGAAGGACAGAGCATTGCTATTAAGCTCTGGACCATTTTGCATCATTTTCCTCAGCTCACCCCTCAGAAGTGCCACTGAGGAAAGATAGATGAGAAAGAGGTGACCAGAGGCTTCATCACAAGCAAACAATGTTGAAGCAAAACAGATTCCTTGTTGAATAACCCAATTATTGTTGGTTCCTTCTCCCTCTACAAAAGCACCACTAATCATCGTGGAAATTTTATAAAATTTAGGTGACCAAAGAGAAGGAACTTAAAAGCACCTAAATTGTGCAAGAGGTATACATTGTTTGTAACGATAAATATGTATATATTTAAATTTTCAGAGCAGCTTTATGGGGGCATAATTTACATATGTTAAAACCCACCCATCTGCAGTATACGTTCAGTGAATTTTAGTAATTGTATATTTGTATCACCACTACTACATTCAAAATATTTCTGGCCACCCCTCCCCCTCCCCAAGATGTTCCCTGATGTCAACTTATGGTCAATGCTCTTTTTTCTCCTGACCCCAAGAAACCAACTTCCTCTGGTTTCAAAATGTTACATAGGTGGAATCAGACCACATGCAGCTTTTAAAGTTTGTCTTCTTTTACTCAACAGGATGACTTTGAGGTTCAATCACATCGTAACATTTCTTAATTTATTTCTTATTGCTGCTGAGTTGTATTCTAGTGTATGTGGTGTA